CCGCCTTCTGCTATAAAAGAGCCTCCTCTGCTTCGTTCCCTCGAATTGCCTGTGGTTTTGCCCTGGCCTGTTAGTCCTGGTGGCCATTCTCTTATTCCAAAAGAAAGCCATTTTTGCTAATAAGATAACTAGATGTTTCATTTAAAAGGTTTGCAGAAAATACCGGCAAGTGCCTTCTGGGAACGAGGACAGCTGCCTGTGGCAGAGGAGCCTGGGTCAGAGGAATTGGACCCAGTGACGTGCACCCAGGGCCTCGGTGTTCTCGTGTTCGTACTGGCTGCGCGAACCGTGACAGGCAGCCTTGGCGTGGTACTTAATAGCTTGCACGGTACTTTCGAGCCGCCGCGGGTGTGCCTTTGAGGGCCTCCGTGGAAGGCCTTCAGGTGACACTGGCTCAGCCTGTACTTCAGACACCATCTCTGTCCAGTCCCGGGAAGAGCTCTGTCCCAGCGATGCTGGGCATCTGCCTCAGAACTGGCCCATCTAGAACAGCACCCCAGGGCTCTCAGGACGCACAAGGACCTGAGAGCCTGGATGCGCCTGCTCACAACAAACTTCACTCCTTCCTCTTGCCTTGAGGCTTCTGGGGCTGTTTGCAAAGATAATTAGGCTTTGTGGGTTGGGGCATCTGTCGTGGAACTGTACTGTGTTCCCTCCCTGCTGCTCCGTGGCTGTCATGCTGTCCTTCCCAGGGAGGGCGAGTGGGAGGAGGGGAGGCAGGCCTTTCCGGGCAGGGGTCTCAAAACTCTGCTTTGAATAGAGACTGCTGAGCCAAGCCAGTGCGGGGACACAGAGTGAAGTCACTCGTTTAAAGAATGAAGTGGCCACCGTGCCCATCTCCTGGTGTAGACAGTGTGGAGTGGCCTGAGAGACCAGGGTTCAGACATCGTGGGGTCTGTGCTGTGGCCACTTGCTGGCCCGGGTGTTTCCCACGTGATCTCCATGGACTCGTGTTTCACACCCAAGAGCAGGAGGGTTGGACACCCTGTGACGACTGTGCTCGATTTCCCATCATGAGAGCAGGCAGGCAGGAACTTATAAAAATGCATATTCTGTGTAATCTTTAAATTTCTACTGAAACATTGCCGATGAGTCCCAGCAGCAGTCTTGGCGTCCGGCTCTGAGAGGTTACTCCTCATCTAGGCTGAGATGTTCTGGTTTTGTAGTGGAAAACTGGAGAGGAATGTCGAATTCACAGTTTCAAGCAGAGGAGAGGGAAAGTGCCGTTTTTGGCCCCAACCACTGGAGCGTGTGGATGGAAGCCCCCTTTCAGCCTGCTTTGCCTGCTGGGGGAGTAAGTGTCAGGAAATGAATCGAGGTGGTCAGCCTTGTCCCTCTGCCCCAAATCAATTTAGATGTCTTCTTAGGTCAGTTAAGTACCAAGAGGATACTTTGTGAGATCTGATCAGTTAAGTGGGGAACCAGAAGACATGGTGAATGACAGGTTAGTTTTCAGCACACGGGGAGCAGGAGGAACCAGGGAGTGGAGCTGCTGGTCACAGATGGCACTTCGGAAGCCACACTTCTTACCTGGTCAAGGCCATTAATTGCAGGCGAGCTAGTTACAAAAAACACTCATCCAAAATGGCAAAGCACAGAGGTGTGTCACTGAGAAAAAAAAGAGGAGATTAAACACTGCACGTGGTTTGTTGAAAAGGTTTTTTAAGAGCGCCTGGGTGGCTCAGGTCATGACCTCACAGTTTCGTGGGTTCAACACCCCCCGCCTCCCATGGGGCTCTGCACTGGCAGTCCACAGTCTGCTTGGGACTCTCTCTCTACCCCTCCCCTGCTCACGCTGTCTCTGTCTCTCTCAAAATAAATAAATAAACTTAAAAAAATAACACAATGTTTTCTCACTCTGATGATGAAAATGTAAAAAGTATAAAGAGGAAGACAGCGTGTATGCAGGGAGCAGACAGAAGGTCCAGAAGGGATGGAAGGGGCCCTGGTACGGTCAGGTCACACAGCCACGGGCAGACGCTGAAAGGAAGTTGATTGTACTCTCAGGTCCCAGAGGGAGCCCGCACAAGGCCACCAGGGAACAGGATGGCCAGGAGGCGTTCGATAGGAGCCAGGACGAGGTCTTTGCCAGAGCCTTTGCTGGGGTTTCTGCAGGGAAAGCAGGCAGACACGGTGGACAGCTTAGGACTGGCTAATCTGAATCCGGCTGTGGGCTGTGCACTGGTCTCCAGTTGCCTGGTGGCTGGCCTGCATGTGCTTGATAAGGGGGTGGCTGGTAGGTTTGTGTAGGAGAGGTTTGCTGTCTCTAAGAAAAGGCCAGCTGGCGG